AGTTTCATTTGCTGTTGGAAATCATTCAGTGTGGCCAAGCATTAGCAGTAAGTGCTACTGAAACTGGCGGCAAGGTATCAACTGTGTAAGCTGTCCTGCACCGTCTTCGACACAGCTTGCTTTGGGCAATAGCCCTTCTCTTCTGCTGCCTGGGCTGCTCGAAACCAGACGCGCGGAATGGGCAGTAAGCAAGGTGCTGAAAGTGCCCGGGTGTGAGCCAGGGCTAAGTCTGCAACAAGATGTCTGTAAGCTCCCAGGAGGTCAGAGGGTGCAGTTCATGCAGCAAAGATCATGTCTGTAATAGAATTAGCCCAAATTAAGTGGCCTGCTAGCAACTGTTTTCTCAGCTGTTCGGTTAGCCATATCACCTGATCTTTGTTCAGAAAATGTCCCGTGTTCCTTGCTGTTATGTTACTGAGAGTGCACGTTTTCATCTAGCTCCTTGATGCTTAACTTTTAGTTGAGGGGGGAGGCAGCAGTTGCCCCCTGTTAGCCTGTGCATTCTGGCTCCGTGAAACGCGTAGCTGCGCTGAGAGCCCTGGCTGTGCTGCGGGCGCAAAACAATCCAGTTGCTGAACAATGGTCACTGCAGCTTCTGTTCCTGGCTCCACCCTCCCCTGTTATTTTTTGGAGCTCCAGATGCCTCACGTCATGTTGCAGAAGTGATTGTAGAAGCCTGTAACCCCTCAGTATCACATGAACACTTCAGCAGAGTCACTTCGTTACCAACCACTGTTCAGATGCAAATAGACCCTCCTAATGAAGTGCAGCAACGCTGGAGTTGCTGCATAAGTCAGCATAACTGCTTACACGGAGCTGAAATTACAGGGCAAACGCTCTTTAACTGCAGAGCAGCTGCAACGCCACCTGAGCCAACTAATGCGAAGTAAAGATGCCGATGCGGCTTGAAGAGGCGCTGGTGCTATTTCTGTTCAGGTAGGGTAGAGCCTGGCCTCTTCCGCAAGTCCATGCGGCTGCTAGACCGCTGTTGTGGCAGGATGTGTTTGTAGGTGCAACGGAATTAAAGGAAGAACTTGGCGTGTTTGGTGGCTGAGACTGCCTGTTCACCCCCTGCTCCACAGCAGCAGCACTTGGTCACGGAGAGAGGCTCTGTGCTCCTGTTCACCCCCTGCTCCACAGCAGCAGCACTTGGTCACGGAGAGAGGCTCTGTGCTCTCTGTGCTCTGGGCTGAGAGGCAGCCTGCCAACTTCAGGAGTAGGGCTTTGCAGTGTTGCAAGTTCCCTACCACGGAGCGGGTAGAGGGATGGTCCCAGAGACCCTCAGCCATCCTTAGATCAAGTGGTGTTCTTCGTTGCCTCCACCTTAATAGTGAGGGTTTCAGCCTAGATGGGGCTTGCAGCTCTGTTAACGCAGCCCTCTTCTACTCACAGCGATCTGCTAGCGGGGCTGTTCCCCGCTCATGTAGCGCAGGCTCGGGTTATCCTTCTTGAAGAAGTGGCTGCCTGCCTATCAGAATGAATGGAAAAGGTTACCTAGAGCTGCC